TTCCCAGCTTACTGCCTGCTCCATAGAAGAGGCTGGACTCATATTTACTTTCCTTTATATTCTAGCCTGGGTAACTACCTCTAAATACAAAATAAAGTTGTGAATACTCTGAGGGCCCTGATAATTTTATCTTCCCAGATTCTACAAACATAAACTCAAGGTTAATATTTTCTGGCGGATGTTCCAAGACTCTTTCCCAAGCTCATTTCTTTCTGTTTGAATTATTGCTACCTGTCACATCTCTCCCTGGCCCAGTGCTACCATCTCCTATTTGAGCATCTCTCTGCTTGCTGAAGCCCAAGAATAAACTTCTGCCTGTTAGAGACCCGCCGTGCATGAGTTGCTCCTGGGTCCAGCCACCTTACTTAACTGTATTGCCTGCCCATTGAATTGCTCACAGTCCCTGAATGTCCCAGGCTTTGGGATCCTGTGTGAACCTGAGTATTCATCATGTAATAGGTGAATGAAAAAAGCCTGAGATACGTGGAAGGGACTAATTTTTAAGATAAGGAATGAAGACTTTATAAGATCTGTAATCTAAAGTAGCAGAGGCTGGATAAGAACCTGGGTCTTCATATATCCCGTTTAGAACATTCTTCATTCTATTGTATACCTTTTGCATTTCTGAGACTCACTGTACCTTCAGTCAGTAATGCTGTGTGTAGTTGTCAGTTCTTCATGGGTTAGCTACAGGCAGGGAGAGAGATGACACCAGGTAAGGCACTGGCACTTGGAGACTGCTATACCTTCTAACCCCATGGCCTCTGGCAATTCACCAAGCCTGTTTGTATTTTTTATATGTGAGGATAATAAAAGCTGGCCTTCTTACTCTCTAATCCTGGCTCTGGTTGTCAGTGTAGATGACACTTAAGTGTACTATTGCAAAATTCAGATAAGAACATAGATGTTAAAGTGCTTTGTAAATAATGTGATGTACTAATAGAATAATAAGAGAAACATGCTACTGTCATCTTTCTCCTGAGTCCTAACAGCTCCTTTCTCTGTGCTGGACATATGGGAAGGCTCTAGATGGGAGGAAGCATGTATTGTGGGATGTGTGTGGGGTCATCTCCAAGTACATGTATGTAGATGTCCAAAAGGTATAAAATGACATCTGCTGACCTTGACAGATATATCACGAATGACCTCAAAAGCTCAAAAATGTGCTGAGGATCAATAAAGTCTGAAACACGTTTCTTTGGATATGAGCTATCTGAAGTTAGAGCAGCTGGACCAAAATATGATAGAGATTTCTTTTAGTGTCGGGAGCCCATGAACCTATAACTGAATTGATCACACATCTGTCCTAACCAAGATTAGTTACCACCTCTGACTGGAATTTGATAAAAAGATTCAGAACTAGACAACATGATAGGAGTGCTGGGGGAGGGATGTTGATGGTGGTGCAGGATGAGGGTTGGGGTGGAACAGAGGGTGCAATTTCAACGTCCAGGGGCAAGAGATGGGAAGAGGGTGAGACAGTCCTCTAGGGGTATTATCTTAAGGATAAAGATAATGACTTTTTTTTCCCCTGGCTCATAATGCAAAAGAGGAGAGATGGACAAAATAACCAGTGACTCCCCCAGGGCTCTTTCAGGCCTCTGAACCTTGATCAAGTGGATACTGTGGCCTTTTTGTGGATGGACCAGCTTAACTAGTTTTCTCAAAGAAAACAGACAGAGGATACTTTGAGGGCTGGGGAGAAAGCTCCACAGCAACTCACCTTTCCTCTACTCCACTTTGTAACATTAGCACTTTGAAAAATTTATTTTATTTCTTTTAACTATAGAACTCAGTAAAAAACTGCAGATCTGTAGTAATACCAGAGTGAACAGAGTAAAAATTGTAAATCCTTATCCATTTTCCACTTCTCTCCCAGTTGTTTTCCCCTTCACAGAGGGGGTCACCATGTACATTTGGGGGTCACCCTCCTGGACTCCCCCACCTTCCCATACACATATCACATTATCAGAACTTTCTAAATTTAGCAATATTTTCTGTCTTTTCATGTCAATACATCCACTCTTCTTTTTGAACAAAATATGTTTATTAAAATTACACACACAAAAAATAAAATTACACAAAGCGTGAATTATTTATATATACATAGCAAATTAAAAACTATTCCCTCTAAAACATGAATTATGAAAAGATAGATACTTTGGTGCAATTTGCAATCATTAATTTATTATTATCTCATCTCTCTGTGATATGCTTCCAGTTTGGGGACATTATAGGATTTTCTTCTCTGGGGTTCTATGCTAATTGAATGCTCTCTTTCTAATTTTTTTTGTAGTTTTTTTTTTTAATTGTTTGATATTTCTAATTTTTTTGAAAGAAAGAGACACTACTTTGGTTTTAGTTTCAGGCAGTTTTTCTTATTTTTGAGAAGAAATGATATTGCAGTTCATGCACAAAATCAGGGAAGTGTTTCCCTGTTCATCAAATTCAATGATTATCTTAATTACATCAGAAGATTTCTCTTTTAAAAACATTTCCCTTTATATATACAAATATTTATTATTATTATTGAGACAGCATTTCACTCTGTCACCCTTGGTGAGTGCCATGGCATCATAGCTCACAACAACCTCAAACTTTTGGGCTTAAGCAATCCTCTTGCCTCAGCCTCCTGAGTAGCTGCGACTGCAGGTGCCTGCCACAATGCCCAGCTAGTTTTTTAGAGACAGAGTCTCGCTCTTGCTCAGGCTGGTCTTAAACTCTTGAGCTCAAGCAATCTACCCACCTCAGCCTCCCAGAGTGCTGGGATTACAGGTGTGAGCCACCCTAATATTGGGCCCTTTAGTATATTCTGAAAACATCTAGCAGTGTTGCTGACAATTTTCTTTTCACAGGTCATGCTTCCTATTATCAATTAATCCATAGGTTGCTTGAACATCAGTTATCTGCCAGGTTTTTGGAGCACACGGCATAAGACACAGATTCTGTCCTTAAGGAGGGTATAATGGAGTAGTGCTGGGCAGCCCACACTCTTTCAAGGAGATTACAAACATGAACACAACGAAGGGATTCAGAGTCACCTATGTCAACAGTTGCAGTTGAGAGAGGAGGATTGAGTGTCAAGGCCAGGAAAGACTGATGGAAGGCCTGGGACACCTGAAAATGGTCTAGATTTGATACAGTGGTAACTTGAAAGCAAGAGATTGGTAGCCTGTGGAGGATGAAATGACACAGGGAAAACATTGCTCCAGGGAATTCATGAGACAATGTAGACAGCACCTAGTCAGGAGGAGCCTGGGGCTCAGAGGCTGTTGCAGGAGCCTTGATGGGGCAGCATGGGGCTTGACTGGGATGAGCTGCCTGCAAGAGGATGAGATAGTATGAGTGGTAGAGAGCCCAGCAGAATGTTCACTGGGACCCAGTGGATGGCTGGACTTGGGTAGTGTCTGCAGATACCTCTGTTTGAGCTGGGTGCAGTGGCTCATGCCTGTAAAACTAGCACTCTGGGAGGTTGAGGTCAGTGGTTTGCTTGAGCTCAGGAGTTCCAGACCAGTCTGAGCAAGAGCAAGACCCCTGTCTCTACTGAAAATAGAAAATCTAGTCGGGTGTTGTGGTGCATACTTGTAGTCCCAGCAATTCAGGATGTCGAGGCAAAAGGATCTCTTGAGGCCAGGAGTTTGAGGTTGCTATGAGCTATAATGCCACTCTATCATAAACAAACAAACAAACACGAAAAAAGAAGATACCTCTGTTTAGTTGGGAAATATAATAAGGCACCTTGAGGGTTCCCTGCTGCTCTCTTAAAACTCATGAAATAATAAGCATCTTGGGTAAGATTGGTCTTCTCAGACTTTCAACTTCTTGGCTAGGAAGGACTTGAAGCAGTTCACAGAATAAATTGTAGAAATAGCCACTACTTCATATAACACATGACACAGACTATCATTCTATTGACCATTCTTCTCTGAAATGCCACAGTTTTACTCTGTTGATAAAATCTTGGGTTCTAGTACTCATTCATTGATAAAGTGCAAACAACGTCTCTGTCTAGTTTCCCTTCCTTATAAGTCTCCACACCTGTATTAATTATCCGTACATATACAGAGGGTGCCATATATATATGTATATATGTGTGTATATATACACACACACACACATTTTAAGAAGGAAAGAACTGTATTAAGATTGTAATACTCAAGTCATGTTTGACTTCTGCAATTACAAGAGATACAAGATACAATACACAGAATAACAAATGTTATTCATATATATTTTTACAATTTTAATACAGTTGTTTTCTTTATTAAAATGTGTATACAATTTTTGGCACCTCTGTATAGTAAATAGAATGCTTAATATAAGCATTTTGCCATTAAAAATAAAACTTGCTACTTTTTAATTCTTCTCATGAAACGTAAGATGATAAACTCACATATGTGGTGGAGAGGTTGTGGGAAACAGCTCATGGACAAATCTGGGCTCATGTTCTTTCCACTTGATGTTGGGAAGGGAACACCACCTTTGGAAAAAGGTGTTTGGTGATGTTGTTCCAATGAAGGTGCTGGCAGGGGGCTCTAGCAGGTACCAAAACTGTTCTCCTAGGGTATGTCAACTCTAAATGTAACTTTCAAGACTTATTTATTAAAGTAGAATCCTTTAAAAAAGTAGTACTTCAATACTCTGGTACAAACACATTTATGTAAAAAGGAGACTGGACTTTTTAAAATTAACATTTTAAATATATTTCAATTGAACAGTCATTCAATAAAAAATACAAAACAGTTTTTCTCCCATTTCTTGACCCACATCATAATTTTCTTCCATCTGTCTTTAGTTTTCTATGAACAACTTAGATACTCTCTTACCTAACCACTCACCTTTCTTCCCAAATCAAGACAAATCCTAGTCTAGCCTAACCAATACTATCTATTTTCCTCCTATCCCTCAACTCAACCCTGAAGATTTCTCTGGCCCATACCTAGGCCTTCTGCATAACAATGTTGGGGAGGGCTCAACCCCCCATTTGATGCTCCATCTTCTCATGCTGGAGGCCTCTTTCCCGTCAGCACCCTTTTCAGGGCACCCTGCACATCAGGGTTCCGGAGGCTATAAATGACTGGGTTTAGCATAGGGCTGAGGATAGTGTTAAGGATCCCAATCCCCTTGTCCTTGTCTGAGGCCGAGACTGAGCCCAGACGCATGTAACTGAAGAAGCCAGTTCCATAAAAGATACAGACCACAGTGAGGTGGGAGCCACACGTGGAGAAGGCCTTCTTCCTCCCCTCAGCTGAGCGAATTCGTAATACTGCAGCTGCAACATGGGCATAGGACACTGAGATAAGAATCATGGGGACCACCCCCATAAAAGTGGCCCCTACAAAAAGCAGCTGCCCATTGAGATGGATGCTGGAGCAGGAGAGCTGGAAAAGAGGTGGGAGGTCACAGTAGAAGTGATTGACCACGTTAGGGCCACAGAAGTCAAGCACAGACACAGCCACTGTATGAGTCAGAGCATTGATGAAGGAGATGGTACAGCAAATGCCCACCAGGGCACCCTGGACTTCACGACTCATCCGAGTGCTATAGGTAAGGGGCTGACAGATGGCCAGGTAGCGATCATAGGCCATGGCTGTTAAGAGGTGACAGTCCACCCCTGCCAGGAGGTGGAAAAAGAAGAGCTGTGAAATGCAGCCAGCATATGGAACCCGGCACTTGTGGGCCAGGAGACACACCAACATGGGAGGAACAGTGACAGTGATGCACCCGATGTCCAACAGAGACAGGTTCCCCAGGAAATAATACATGGGGGTGTGGAGTTTGGGCTCCACAAAGATGGCAGCCAGGATGCTGATGTTGCCCCCAACTGTGACTACATAGGCAAGGAGGAAGACAGCAAAAAGGATAGGTTGTAGTCTTATATTCTCCGTCAGGCCAAGAAGGATGAACTCAGTGACAGTTGTCCTATTTCCCCAAGCACCTGGCTCCATAGGCCTCTGTTGTATCAGGAGACAAAGTGAATCTGTCCAAAGGGAGAGAGAAAAACAGAAACCGTGTCTATTGGCTGTTGGAGTGATGTGGCACCAACTGTAAAGAGCACCAGCCTAGTGCATGGCCAGGCTTCAGGAGGCCCCTATAAGGCCAGACATTAACTCTGCGGTTGCTGGTTCAGGGAGAGATTCAGGGTATCCCAAAGAGAAGGCTGAGGCAGAGGGAAGTACTCCCACAGCTCAGGTTGGTTGTTACTTACCAACATGGTATGGAAATGTTTTGGTCATTAAAGTCATGTCAGCATACAGTGACTGAATAGCATCTCTGACTAGCTCAGTGAGTAAATGAACATATGAAGATCTAGAAAGCATAATATAGGAAGCAACATAAAGGCAGAGAGTAGGAGGACAAGATCTCATGAAATCAAAAGAGGTACAAAAGAGATTGTGGAAAGAAGCAAAGAGTGAACCAAAGAACAGAAACACATAGAAGATAAAAATGAAAGATGTTAACACTGTGATTAAGTAAATGATGTGAAAGCTACGTTAATTAGTAGGATGTAAGCACTCCAATTTGTACAAATAATCAACACATTGAATCCCACAAAGGCATAAGTGTATTCATGATTATTGAGTATATATGACCTAATAAAAAAAAGGAAAATAATATAATCCAACAAGCAAACAGGAAAAAAAATAAAAAAGGTCTGAACTTTTTTTTTCTTTAAAAGAAAGATGTGAAGGCAATTTAAGAAAGCACTAACAACATTTTAACAGTGTACACGAGTATTAAACACATCATATTTGTATTCTCAATTCTGTATCTTAACCAGTTTGATGTATTTCAAATTGTATATAAAACCAGCACATTGTACCCCATTAATTGTATTAACGTACACAGCTATGATTTAATTAAAAAATGTAATTACTATTATCTTTATGCAATCAAGACATTGAAGATTGCAAAGTTTAACTAAGGAGCCCAAGGTCCTGAAGCTCTTGACAGACCTGGGTCTCAGACTTGGGGCTGTCTGACTCCAATTCCACATCTTAACACTGTATTGCCTCTTGGGGAGCATGGATGTATATTATTACTGAGGCTTTCTAAATGACATTGTATATGATAGAAGAATGGTATCCCTAGGGCTTTAAATATTAACATCACTCCAGTTCTTCAAGGAAATCAACATTCTATCCATTCATCTTTTCATTCAACAATTATTTGTTGAATGTTGTAGGATTATGGATATATTTTGATGGTAGAATTAACAGAGATGGCACAGGGTGTGAAAGAAAGGGAAGATACAAGAATGATGCTGAGCTTGAGCATCTAGAAAGATGTAGTTGCTAGTCAAGGCGTGGGGTAGACAGATAACCTCTATGTGTGTGTAGATGGGGGATAGCAGGAGCTTTTCCTAGGGAAAAGAAGGCACTCGAAATCCCAGAGAACATTTTCTGGCTTCTTCCCTATCACACGTGGCACCTGGACAACTGAGGGGCTAACTCTTAAAAAGAAAAGTCCTTTGAATGTGACTGGGACAGGTGGCTCTGGGGAGGTATGCTTGAGGTCCCCTTCTTCTGGACTCTGGCTACCTTTTCTCCATGACTGCTCTAGTACTCTCTTCTGTCTAGAACCCTCTCCCCCTTCCACACATCAGACTTCACCCTTCAAGGCTCAATCCTTGGTCATTGTCCCATCTCCATAAGAAAGTCCTCCTTACCCACCCCAGTCTTAATTGGTCTTTCCCTCTGATGTCATAGACAGTTAATAGCTAGAGTCATTCTGATACTTGCATATGGGGAAAGGTATAGGGAACTGAACCATTAAGAGGTGTAGCTTGCCCAAAGTCACACCAAGCATCACTCAAAATTGGTAACACAAGACAAAGAGTTTAGATTATGTTAATTAAGTGACAACAGGAAATTCTGCACTGCTCCTGACACCACCATCCTGTTCTCTTCTACAAAAACTGTTGACTATTTGTTGGGCTCAAACTCTCTCGGATCAATGCTGACCTTCACTGGGGAAAATGATGAGAGCCAGCCTCTCACAGTTTGTCCCTCCCTTTCTAGAATCTACCTTCTAGCTGGGTCCACTACCAATCCCCTCATTGGGAAGCCAGCGACTGGCCCCTCAGACATTGTATTCTCAGGTTATGTTTTCCATCACAACCCCAGGTGTGGACAAACCTCAGCTCTATCAAAGGCTGCACTCAGACACTTGGCAGAGTGGTAACAGCTGTGTTGCCTTAGACAGGAGATGGCTGTCCCTTAAAGATGACCCCTGCCCTCCAGAATGCTGGAGGAGGAGCAGGGATCATGGTTTCCTCATCAAATGCAGCTTTCCTGGTCAGGGTGTTGTGGAAGCAACAAAGGAAGGAGAAAAGATACCCTTGCCTTCAAGGAGATCACAGTCTAGTTGGGCAGGAACACTCTCAAACTTGTAGTTCTCAGGGTGGGTGACACACTGTCTGCCTGGGCTCAGAATGGCCTAGAAATAAGAAAGCTTTGGATGAACCAGGGGGAGAGGAGGAGAGGAGAGAGTGTAACCAGGAAAACAGAGCTCCCAGGGCTCAGGAAACAGGACTTTGGACAGGAGACATCCCAGACTGATGAAGGAGATGGGACATTGCAGGTAATAGGGCTTTTAGATTTCATTAATATCAGTAAGTTAAGAAGGGCAGATGAACAAATGTCCTTAATGAAGAAAGAGGGTTTGCTGAAAAATGATACAGGACAAAAAAGAAAAAACAAAAACTCAAAACCCAGATTCTTAGCCACTCTGCATAGAAAAAGTATAGGAAAAAGGCCTTCGTTGAGCTTTGCAGGGGGAAAAAGAAGTTACTCCACACATAGTATTCTAGTTCTATTCCCTCTGATGGTAAGCATGGATTATCTTGGAGGACTGAAAGCATGTTGTTTAGGGGCTGCAGAGATTGGCTGCAAGGAAGGCAGGAGAAATCCAAAGCACAGTTATCTCTGCAAACACAAAAGCCTAAGGGTTTATCTCAACCCTTCCTTCCTTCTTTCTATAGCAAACAAACAGGTAATAATCCCTTCCTATCAGCTAATTCCTTTGTGTTCTGTAGTTGAAGAAGATAAATTTCTTCTCTCATGAGTTTGTCTCATGCAAATAATCCCTCCCTGAGCCCTGAGAAGCCCGACATTTGTAGTGTAGGAATAACGAGAAAGTGTTTCCTGTATGTGTGGGAATTGGAGTGACAGCCAGTGACAGATAACATTTATCAGGCACTTTCTATCCAAGTCACTTTTATTTATTACCTCAGTCAAGTCTTTCAAAAATCCTATAAGGTAGGTAACAATGATAATGACTAATTTTTTGCTCAACGCTTTTTATTGGACATTATTATTCTTTTTTGTGTTTTAACAACTTGTGTTAAACACAAGTTGTTTTGTGTTACAACAACCTGAGATGCTGTTTTTTAACAACCTGTGAAACTATATTTCAGATTGTTACAGAAGTTCTTAGAACCCTCAGGTTGTTATAATAATTAATACCTAAGTAGATTTTAGTATATGATAGCCACTGTCCTAAGTATTTTACATTTATTAATTATCTCTTTATTCTTCAAACAGTTCTACGAAGTGGGTACTATTATAACCCCCATCTTAGAGATAGTAAACTGAGGCACAAGGAGTTAAGGTACCATGTCCAAGATTATGCAGCTAGTGAGTGGCAGAGCCAAGATTCAAACCCAGTCATTACAGTGTCAAAGCCAGTGCTATTACATGCTTCACTTTACTCCACTGAAAGAGAGTGACTGAGTGATTTTGGTTCATGGAGCTACTAAAGTAGTGGAGCTGGGGTTTAAGCCAGGGTGTCTAATCACAGGCAGCAAGGGGATTCATCAGGAATACCCCAACTCTCACACCCCCAGGATAGGTCATTTGTTGACACAGGCATTTATTCTGTTGAGAAGTCAGAAGGTATTTGTGAGAAGCCCTCGTCACCTTAGGAAATGACTTCATGGATGATCTTCCCAGTTTAACGTTAAGACAAGCCCAATCTGGGCCTGAAACCACATCAATGGTTTCCTTGCAGCACTCAATGGTGCTCAGCCTTGCTCTTAGCAGCAGCTGCATCTCTCCATCACAGGAGAGATGTTCACCCCCATTGTTCACCCCCCTCCCCCCTTCTTCAATCATCTCCACCTGCCAGTCCATGCAAGGTGCAGGCTAGCTCAGGGCCTCTAGCCCAATTTGCTCTAAACCAGTTTTTCTCAATCTTCCTAATGCCGCGAACCTTTAATACAGTTAAAAGGAGTCACAACCCACAGGTTGAGAACCGCGGCTGGTCTAAGCAGTTCCTTCTCTCCCAGAAGACATGCAGAACTTCACTCCCTCTCTTCCTCCCTCTCTGTAAATAAGAATAATTCGGCACTGTCAAAGAGTTCTGAAGTTGGAGTTCAGATGTTTGTGTTATTTGTGTTACAAACAAATTTCTACTACTAACTAGCATAGAAACTTTGGAGAAGGAAAAAAGAAGGAAGAGAAGATGAAGGGAGAGAGGATGGTAGGAAGACAGGAAGAAAGGAAGAAAAGAGGATGGGAAAACACTAAGCTACGTGTACTTGAGTATAATCTTTTTGTCAGAATGTTACTCCAGTTAAACTTTATAAAAATTCTTGAAGATAAGCAATCATTTTACAAATGAGAAAAGTGAGGCTCAAAACAGTTTACTTGTTTAAGGTAACATCGTTTTTTCCTGTTAACCCCTGCTGTCTCCTATTGCCATATACACGAGTATGTGTGTACGTGTATACCTATAACATATGTATTCATTTACCTTTCTGTCAGATGCAAGGCTGCACTTCATCATCTCTTGGCTAATTTAGAGTTGTAAGATTCTGTAAAAATCAGTGTCATTGATATCTCCATCCAGACCCACTTAAATAGCCTCCTTGGTGCCCCCACTTCATTTCCTCTGCTCTTTACCCCACTAAGTTCCTTCCTGGCTGCCCTCTGTTTGCCAGCTCTGCTTTCGTTCTTCC